CCCACCCCCACCCGCCGCTCCGCCGCACACTCAGCGCATTCTCCACATTACTGTCTAGAGTCCCTTCATACTCACAGTTGAGACAACGTGAATCCATTCCTCATTGGTTCCCGTATTTTAGGCCCCATCAGTGTCACAGACGGCAATTCAGATTCCATTTTCACCAATTTCAAAGATTATAATCTGGAAAGGACCGGGGAATTACGAGGTCGGCAAGGAACAAACGGAATGAGAGAAGGAACGGAGAAAGGAATTCGAGAATCAAAGATTACGAAAAACTACCAATTTGTGTAATCTTTATTCCCGTTTGTGACTCCATAAGGGGGGGGGGTTGTCTAAACTCTCAGTATGAAGGGACTCTAGCCTTTACTGCCGTGCTAAGGAAAAACGCCGCAGAGCGGCGCATATGAGCTTTTAGCAGGCGTTGCCAAATTTCCTTTGGTAAATCACGAATTTATGGGAATTTATATAAACATTTTTCTTTCAATATTTTGGAGAATATTGCTCGTAATTTGATCCAAATAGTGTAACAATTTCAAGGACAAATATTGATAATTTTTCTAAATAATAATCATTTTATTGGAGGAAACTCTCGAATGTTCGTACGGCGTTTTCCCTTAGCACAGCAGAATAGAGTGAGAGCTAGGAAACAACACCGCCTAACTAACAATTTTGGCTGTAATGAGTTAGGGATACCTCATTCTTCACTATTCAATTAGCAAGCTCATGTTCTCAGTTTTTTCCCCATTTCACATGGCAACGCTGTAAAAACGCTGCAATGTATGAAAAACGTCGCAAATGTAACCACAAAATCACAAACATGCCCAAGTTTCTTCTTCGTCCTGCAAAATCGTCAGTTTGCAGGTCAGGTGGGCGGTTTTTTTCCTCAGCCATTGAAATGGGAAGAGTGCAAACAAGTCGGTAATTTTGGAATTAGGTCATATAGCTTTTAGGGTCCCAAAGGGCAGGCAGCCTGTGAAATCAAATTATCCAGAATTATTCATTATTACAATATTGTTATGACCCGTCGTTTGTAAAGCACTTATCTTGCATAGTTTTTGTATAAATTTACTCATTTTTGCAAAAGGGAGCTCATTTGTGGATATTCTTGGCCATCTTGGTTTGATTCTGAAGATTTTATAGGATATTGAAGAAAAATCGGCATTTTCCAATATTTTTCAAATAAAAAGGTTGGCTGCCCTTTTGGGCTTTAAAAACTCTACATGGATGTATTTATGCTAAAAGGAAGTATGTTCATAAGGTTTTTGTGCAACACAGTTCCTTTTAGCATAAATACGTCCATATTTCGACCTGTTCAGTTTCTGTGCTCTCCACACACAGGTACTCTACTCGCGATCGAATATAGATGGCCTAATTGCGAAGTCACGTGACTCCATTCCGATCTTTCAAAATCCCCGCCCGACTTTTACCTTTTTGAAAAGCAACAAGTCAACTTTATATTGATAGTTTGAAATTCATGGAGAATTTCTGTCAATCGAACAGTAATATCTAATATCTGTCCAAGAAATTATGTCGAATAGTTTTCCGGGGAAATGATGAAGTATGACAGGGAGTATGCAATGTCGCAGACGGAGATACGTTGTTTCGCACTTTGCCCATCGATGTGCTTCGCCAAAACAACGAATGAGCCTTTTACATGCATGGGTTTCAACTCTATCTAATGGGTTGAAAAATGAGTCAAACCCACTCGCGGAAATCGAACTGAATTCAAAATTTTAATTTGGTGGATTTCATCGGTCTCCGATAAGACCTAAACCATGTGAAAAAATAAGATGGTAAAAGAAGGCAGGGACCTTGGGTAGGAATGGAGCCGTCCACGTCCGGGAAACATGTAAAGCTCTTTTTCCAATTTGTTTATCTTATTTACTCATCTAACGCAACCTTAAACCCTCCCTTTTTGAACTGCCTAGCTCGAGCTCTATTTCCCAAAATTGGTTCTCGGCGCGGAAGACTGTGCAACGATTCCTCGCCCCCTCGTAAGACCCCGCAAGACAAGCTTAGACCCTCGCACTTGTTACTCGCTTATTCAATACTTTAATGGCCTCTTCAGAAATTCGCCATGTTCCAATCCTGATTTCAGTTTAACACTGCCGTGCTAAGGAAGAACGCCGTATGAGCCTTCAGACGTTGCCAAGTTTCCTCCGATAAAAACCGAATTTACTGGGGATATTGTGAATATTATTTTCCAAAAATTTCACACAATTTTGTGCGCAATTTAATCTAAAATATCTGAAAATTTCAAGGAGGTACATGCACGAGTCTTGTCAGAAATACATGTTTTATCAAAGGAAATTTGGCAACTCTCGAATGTTCATACGGCGTTCTTCCTTAGCACGGCAGACTACTTCTACTTAGAGGGGACGAATTCGGTGTAACGAAAGGAAAACATTGAGTCGGGTCGCATTCTTATCACCTAATTTATCAAAACGTTAGAGGCCGTCCCTAAATTACGTAACGCTCAAAAGGGGGGGCGGTCTTTAACGGCGTTACCCGGCGTTATAGGAGGTGGGGGGGATAAAGTAAAGTGTTACGTAATACTCACACACACTTAACAGAAATGCCCATTCGTTCAATGAACGTGAGGTGATTGAGATTATTTTCATCGGAAGGGGAGGGGGGGGGGGTTCAGG